GGCCTCCTGTGGAGATGAGGCCGCGGGACTGTTCCTGTGATCAGGCTTTCTTTTTTTCTCTGGTCTAGGCTGTTCCACCTCGGATGGGGCTCCAATTGGGTCATTGAGCAGATCACTTGGCTGGGCTTGATAGATGTTTACTGGACTGGTGTTGACTTGGCTGGGGTGGGGCGGCATATCCGGGCCTCGCAGGGTTTCAGACAGGTTAAGAGCTGGGCCGCCTAGAGACAGAGATTGGCCCATTTCAAAAAGGCCCGCCAATTTCTCTCTGTTGGACTCCTTCTCCCCTAGGTCGAGACTGCGTTGCATTGCTCTGGTCGTCTTCTCCATTTCCATCTCTAGCAGTGCAGTCTGTATGACAGGGGGCTGATTGCTGGCCTCTCCTCTGACCACCCAGTCTGGTTCCCTAGCACTGCCTGTCAGACTGTTGTACCCTGGTGGGTTACTGAACGGTCCCAGGATTGGGAGACCCGCTAGGGTTATCCGGGAAGGTTCTCCTCGATTGCCGCGCCCCTACTGCATCGCCGGTGAGGGGAGTGCCGAACGTCTGGCCCTCGCTTGTTTTTCCCTGAAGGACGCCGGTGGAGTATTCGCCGGTGAATCATGTCCAGCCCTTAGTGCATCATTGTAGACTTCCGATGGGTCGGTACTGAGCCCCAATCTTCTATGTTCTTCCCTATCATGGCAGTTGTGGATTAGATGGCCCAATCTCCCACAAAAATAACAGAGATCCATTATCCTTTCATATTTGAAGCTGATCCAGATGGAGTTATCCCCAATGGGATACTCGAAACCAATAGGGATTGGCTCGTCGATGCTTACTTCCACCTTTGCTCTGATAAATTTCAGCCAGCCTCTGAAATCGAAATTGGAATGGTCGACACAGTGGAACTGGGGGAAGATGAAGCTCGCTACTGCCTGAACAGCTTCTTCGTCCTTGAGTGATTGTGGCAGATCATGCATTTGCACCCATAGGGTGACTGTTGGTATATCTGCTGGTACCGCCTTCTGTTCTCCATCCCATTTTTTCAGAGCTATCAGCGTATTGCTGAGGTTCCATGGTCTGGCCTCCCATACCGCATCCCTTTGTTGAGTCGACTGGAAAGAGTAGACGAAGAGGTTCTCGGCCTCCTTCGTAGCTTGCACCTCTCCATATGCCCTCCATTTGTTTACTGCCGCACTTCGTGCTTTGGGTAGGTTGATGCTGCTATCGGTGATCCACTTCCCCAGAAGCATTGCCATCCCACTTCCTCGAGCACCCACTACTGTCGGTCTTACATTGAGGACGAGATGACTCCTCTCCCCTCTCAGGCTCTTGTACTGAGATTCCATATTTGGGTGGCTGACTTTTTTGTGTGTGGTTGGGAGCTGAAAGAGATTTGTGTTGGGTATCACTCTGTTGATAGTTTTGCTGGTGTTGTGGATGGAGCTGGAAATGGGTGATTGATGGCTCGATTTTTCCTCCCTTATATAGGCGAAACTCTTCCATCTACGACTCCTGGTATACCTCAGGAGCTTGGTGTGTTTGCAGCACAATAAATGCCACTTGATTGTTCCCTCTGCAGTAACTTCACCTGCCAAGATCTCCGATTCATGGCATTTATGGCGGCCTCTATTAGCACCTCTATCACCACCTATTGTATCTCCCCCTTCTATTTGCTCTTTGCGTGTAGAGTTCGGCGGATAGCTGGGCTCAGCGCATTTAAACCCTCCTTCCCTACTATCTAAGCATTTATGTTTCTGATCTCTCATGATTGATTGACAGTTTTCCCTTGTCTCTATCTCAGGTGATTGGTGGCAGCACATTCCTTGTGTCTCTTTGAGTAGAGGGGATCTGCAGAGAGGGGTAGCAAAAGGTGTTGCTTCCACACCCTTTCAAAACTCAGAGCATTTACTTCTCTGGCTCTGCCTTTCGATCTCGTCTGCCCACTTTTGATTGATGCCCGTTCAGGTGGTTTGGGCAGTGGAGTAACTCCTTCTCCGGCTGCCTCTGTGTTGGAAGGGGGCGTCTCATTGGTGGCGAGTCTAATCAAGATATTAGGATCTTCAATGCTCCAAATCCTGTACTTAAATGCGATGTGATCTTCGATTAACTCTAGGGTCTTTCTGCAGACTCCGGCAGTTGGATTATTGAAGGCTCCCTGACGGGTAGCTGGAATCGCTCTCGATAACGGAGCTGGAGCGATCGGGCGATCGGAAGAGGAAAAAGCATACAGAGGAAAAACAGAGATAGAGAGAGAAGTCATCTTTTTTGTTTTGTCATGTGTTTCCTGCTTTTTAAGTTTAAGTCGGTTTCCAAAATCCATTGTTTGCTTGATGCATTTAGGGGCAACAAATCCGTGGATCCCAAGAACTTTAAGGGTCCAAATCCGTGGACCCCACGGATTTGAAAGTTCCACCTATTTAGGTGGGAACTGGGAATGGATCATGGACTTTGAAGTCCATCATTTAAGACCAAACTACCCCTCCTATTTCATTTCTCTTCTCATACCAATGAGGGCAATAAATGTAAATTTCACTTCACACATACAAATTTAATTTACCAATTCCATCATGAAATCTATGAAACAAACATTGGTATTTTTCAAGTCCATGATGAACCCAAAACCCTCATATATCCATGGTTTTACAAAACCCAAGTTTTACCAAAACCTTCATTTTTCAAATCCGCAGAGCAAACGATCCCTAAAAACATAGGGGCTAGAGAAATTGTGGAACTTCTAGCCATCGCCGTCCAGAGAGTGAGAGATAGAGACGTCATCGATAGATTTGATTATTGCCAGTTAGAGAAAGCGGGACTGGTGGTGATGACACCACTGGTGGAGCTGGGGAGGAGAGCAGAAACTGACGAGAGAGAATGAGAAGCCCACTGCTACCATCTCTAAACATCAAATGTATTTTGGTCTAATCATGAATAATACTTGACTTTACCAAATGATACATTGTGAAGAAGGAATTTGACGTGTAATGTAAGTTCACAATTGAACAACTACATAATAAAATCATACTACAATCCACAGCAGAGCGCATGTGTTTTTCTAGTAATAATTAAGGGGGAAAAGCGGCCATTAACAAATGCTTCGTTAATAGGTTGTTATTATCACAGATTTCCGTCAAAAAAGAAGGTTTGTTATTAAATACATTGTCATTACATTGAACCTGAAATTTGTTCTATGGCTGCTTCAAGGGGTAAAGGAAAATAGGGGAAAGAGGAAAATATGATATAAGTTATGTATTACGAGCGTTGAAAGTTGATATTTTTGAATTGAAAGTTTGGTTTTACAATCGCTTATTTCATTCGTTCGACTGGTATATATATTATATAGTAAGGTTTATGCTTGATATAAGCTTGTTTTTCTAACCATTGTACCATTCAAAAATTGATTCACAAGTTAGCAAATTTTAAAGCCTCCTAGGCATCTAATAAATCTTTACGAGCTAATAAATTGGTATTCTTAGTACAAATTGGAAAGATAATTATGGCATGATTTTCTCTTATCCAACATAACCTAATAAATCTCGACGAGCTAATTAATAAGCTTTATGCCAGTGTTTCGCGACCATTGTACCATGGAGAATTTAATTCACAAGTCAACATATTTCAAGTCGCATAGACATCTAATAATTTTTTTGAGCCAATGAATCAATAAACTTAGTACAAAATCGATCCAATCCCTAAGGATTTTCAGAAGGAAATCACATTAATGTGTCGATTATCTTACAATGTCTTAGCTATTTAGTAGACCTGGCAATCGTGTAGAATTGGATAATTTCGGGTTGGCAATCTCGGGTTACGAGTCATCTCGGGCCGGTCATGTTCGAATTTGCTAATTTCGGGTCAAATATTGAACCATCCTAAAACTTTTGGGTCATTTTTGAATCATTTCGGTTTACGAGCATTCTATGAAACATGAATAAATTAAACATGCTTCAGATTTTTTTAAACAACACATTTTAATATATGTATATTACAATAGTTCCTGGTTCATTGTATATTACAATAGTTTGCGGAACACATATGAGTCCACATATTCTCAATCCTCAACATACTAATAAAAGAAAATACAAATCGCACAAATCCCAAAAAATGTCATGAGAGTATTACTACAACAAGAAGTACGTGATATTTGATACTCTTTACACTCCAAACTTACCTTTTCGTATTCTTGTAAATTTTGTTAAACATCTCACCAATTTATAAGTGATTTTGTCATTTTGAAAGTGATATAAGATACGAAACAAGATAAATAGGTCAACCGACTGACCCACCCTACCTAATCAAAAAAATTACAGATTAATTGAGTTCAGGTCATTCAAATTTCGAGTTATAAAAACTTCAACCCAATTTTAATCTCTCGAAAAGGTTTGGAGCGGATCAATGAATTGGGTCATAATTTACCCAATCTACTATTTAGTTCTTGCAAACATACATAGTTTTCATCTTATTAGTCCTTAATCATTCCCTAAACAACTACAAATATCAAAATTAAAAGAGAACTAGAGTGCCCCAAAAAAGAAAAAAATGAAATAGAACAACAAGACAAAAAAATACAAATGAAAAGAGTAAAAAACATAAAGAAGAAGAAGCAATAACAATTAATGTAATTAATTAACGGGTTATAAATAAAATAGTACATGAAAATTGAGATTTATTTCTAGAGAGAGAGAGTGAAGTTGCAGAGATGAGAGAGAGGGAGCAGGCAGTAGCACATGGCATGTGAGCTACAACAGCTGTGTCCATTTCCTTCTCACTTTGATAAATACCCTTCTTTCCCTTCCTTGCTTCGTCTTTTGACCTTCTTCCCTCTTCTCCTTCTCCAATCACCCTCTCCCTCTCACTAAAACCAGAGCTTAAAGCTCTGTTCCCCCCTCTAATGGCGGTTCCCAAACCCTAGCCTTCTCTCAATCTCCCACCCACCAATACTCCCTCTTTCTCCCCTCACCAAACCAAACCAAACCAAAGCCACAAAGCCCACAAAAACCCATCTCCCAGAAATCCGATGCCAACAACCAAGAAACCTCACCATTTCTGCCTTCTCCCTCTGCTCCTATCCTTCCTCTCTCTCCACCTCCCACCACCCGCCGCCGCCGCGGATAGAGACGCCAGGAGTCTAATCAGCTTCAAAGCCGCCTTATCCAACCCACCACCTCTCCTCTCCAACTGGCTCCCCAACCAAGACCCCTGCTCATTCAACGGCGTCAAATGCCAAAGCCGCGCAGCAAACAGAGTCTCCGCCGTAGACCTCAGCTTCTCTCCCCTGAGCGCCGATTTCCAGACCGTCGCGAAATTTCTCCTCTCGATTGACTCCCTCGAGAGCTTGGCCCTTCAATCAGCGAACGTCTCCGGCTCCATATCGTTTCCTCCTGGATCTAAGTGCAGCTCTGTTTTGACCAGCTTGGATCTGTCGAGGAATTCTCTGTCGGGCCCCGTTTCGGATGTTTCGGGTCTGGCTGCCTGCCCCGGTTTGAAGTCCCTCAATCTCTCCGGCAACGCTCTGGATTTCTCGGTGAAGGAGAAATGGAGCGGCGGGCTGAAGATTGTTGCAGGTTTGGAGTCGCTTGATCTTTCGTGGAACAAGCTCGTCGGGCAAAACGTCGTGTCATTTTTGCTTGGCGGCGGCGGTGGTTGTAGCGAGTTGAAGATGATGGCGATTAAGGGGAACAAAGTCGGCGGCCAGGTCGATGTTTCCGGTTGCAGGAATCTGGAGTATCTGGACATATCGGCGAACAATTTCTCCGGCGGCGGGCTTCCTTCCCTCGGAGATTGCTCTGTTTTGGAACACCTCGACATCTCCGGCAACAAATTCTCCGGCGATCTCGCCGCTGCAATTAAGTCATGCTCGGAGCTCAACTTCCTCAACGTCTCCACCAATTTGTTCTCCGGTCGAATCCCGGAGGGAATTCCGGCGGCGAACCTGAAGTTCATTTCCCTTGCCGGGAATGATTTTCACGGCGGGATTCCTTTGCAGCTCGTTGATTCAGCTTGTCCAGGTCTTGTTACTCTCGATCTTTCTTTGAACAATCTCTCTGGCTCTGTCCCTCCTTCTCTAGCTTCTTGCACTTCACTTGAGAATCTCGACATTTCCGTCAACAATTTCACCGGCGAAATCCCTCTGCCTATTCTCTTGAAAATGAGCAGTTTGAAGAAGATTGATTTGTCTTACAACAATTTCGTCGGTTGGTTATCCGATTCCTTTTCCAAAATGCCCAATTTGGAGTCTCTGGATCTTAGCTCGAATGAATTAGAGGGTCAAATCCCGGGTACACTCTGCTCCGATAACCCGAATGGAGTATTGAAGGAGCTCTATCTTCAGAACAATCAGTTCACCGGCTCAATACCTCCGGCATTGAGCAACTGTTCGCAGCTGACATCTCTCCATTTGAGCTTCAACTACCTCACCGGGACAATACCTTCCAGCTTGGGCTCCCTCCATAACCTCCAGGATTTGAAGCTCTGGTTCAATCAGCTCCATGGCGAAATCCCGCTGGAGATTATGTCCATCAAAACTCTGGAGACTCTGATCCTCGACTTCAACGAGCTGTCAGGTACCATCCCTGCCACCATTAGCAGCTGCACAAATCTCAACTGGATTTCTCTGTCAAACAACAAGCTCAACGGGGAAATCCCGCCGTCGATTGGCCAGCTCTCCAGCCTCGCCATTCTCAAGCTAAGCAACAACTCCCTTATTGGCCGAATACCTCCTGAGCTTGGTGACTGCAAGAGCTTGATATGGCTGGACCTCAATAGCAATTACCTCAACGGTTCAATCCCGCCGGAGCTCTTCAAGCAGTCGGGTAACATTGCAGTCAACTTCATTGCTGGGAAGAGATACGTCTACTTGAAGAATGACCACTCTGATCACTGTCATGGGACTGGGAACCTGCTCGAATTCGCAGGGATTAGGCCAGAGAATCTGGACAGAATCTCCATTCGCCACCCTTGCAACTTCACTAGAGTCTATGGAGGTCACACTCAGCCGACTTTCAATGATAACGGGTCGATGATGTTCCTCGACCTTTCTTACAATCTATTGACGGGTCCCATCCCAAAGGAGATCGGAACAATGTCTTATCTCTACATTCTGAATTTGGCTCACAATAACATCTCTGGCAACATCCCACAGGAGCTTGGTGACCTGAAGGGACTCAACATTTTGGACCTCTCCAGCAATGCACTCCAAGGTTCCATACCAAACTCCATGACTGGGCTTTCCCTGTTGACTGAAATCGACTTGTCGAACAATGATTTGACTGGGATGATCCCTGAACAGGGCCAGTTCGAGACGTTCCAAGCTCCTAGCTTTATCAACAACTCAGGTCTCTGTGGTATCCCTCTCCCAAAATGTGGCAAGGGGCCTACTGCTGCCAACTCTCTGCATCAGAAGTCTCATAGGCGACAAGCTTCTTTAGCTGGCAGCGTGGCAATGGGATTGCTATTCGCCTTATTCTGTATCTTCGCCGCGGTTTTGATCTCCATTGAAGCTAAGAAACGGAGGAAGAAGAAAGAATCGGCTCTCGATGTGTTCATGGAGAATCATTCTCATTCGGGGAACCCCAACACGAGCTGGAAGTTGACTGGAGCACGAGAAGCATTAAGCATCAACCTCGCCACGTTCGACAAACCATTACGAAGACTGACATTCGCTGATCTTCTAGAGGCTACCAATGGGTTCCACAATGACAGCCTCATCGGGTCTGGTGGGTTTGGTGATGTGTACAAAGCCCAGTTGAAAGACGGGAGTGTCGTGGCGATCAAGAAACTGATCCAGATAAGTGGTCAGGGGGATAGAGAGTTCACCGCAGAGATGGAGACCATCGGGAAAATCAAGCACCGGAACCTCGTCCCGTTACTTGGCTACTGCAAAGTAGGGGAAGAGCGGCTGCTGGTTTATGAGTACATGAAGTATGGAAGCTTGGAAGATGTTCTTCATGACCAGAGAAAAGCCGGGATAACGCTAGATTGGAACGCGAGAAGAAAGATCGCCATTGGGGCAGCGAGAGGCTTAGCATTTCTCCACCACAACTGCATCCCACACATCATTCACCGAGACATGAAGTCGAGCAATGTGTTGCTCGACGATAATTTGGACGCACGGGTGTCGGATTTCGGTATGGCGAGGTTGATGTCCGCCATGGACACGCATCTCAGCGTGAGCACGTTGGCGGGGACACCGGGCTACGTCCCTCCCGAGTACTACCAGAGCTTCCGGTGTTCGGTGAAGGGCGACGTGTACAGTTACGGAGTAGTGTTGCTCGAGCTCTTGACGGGTAGGAGACCGACGGATTCAGCTGACTTTGGGGACAACAACTTGGTCGGATGGGTGAAGCAGCATGCGAAGTTGAAGATAACCGACGTGTTCGATCCCGTGCTGATGAAGGAGGATCCGAGCGTCGAGATCGAGCTGCTGCAGCATCTGAAAGTGGCGTGTGCTTGTCTGGACGATCGGCATTTGAGGAGGCCGACGATGATTCAGGTGATGGCAATGTTCAAGGAGATCCAGGCGGGTTCGGGGTTGGATTCGCAGTCGAGCATCGTGACCGGGGAGGACGATGTTGTGGTTGGTGGTGGTGGGTTTGGTGGTATGGTGGAGATAAAGGAAGCCCCTGAAGTAGCAGGGAAGCAGTTGCAGGAATGATAAACAGTTCGAGAGTTTAGTCTCTTGAAATCAATTTTTCAGGCGGATTCTTTTGGGGAAGAAGAAGAAAAGTGAGAAGGTGTAATCTGTGTTTCTTCTTTTCAACCATTTTTTACTGTGTAATGTATAGCAATGTTTAGTAGCTGGGGGGAACAGTCTTTTTCAATTGCTCTCTCCCTCCCTCTTTGTTGCCTCCTTTTGGTCTCTGCAAAAACCTCTTTGTTATAATGTTGTAAATACACAGTTTTCCAGCTTTAAGAAAATCTCACCAAGGACTTTCTTCACTCTTTTGTTCACCATCATGAATTATTGTCATTTTGATGTCATATTGTTATCGACCCTCTGCACGAGTCGAGTTGATCTTAGTAGTCCATTAAGATTGTGCTCGAATAACATAGAATTGTTAAGCTCGAATAATATCGAATTGTTAAGCGTGGGTTCTGTCTGGAGCTGAACTAAAGATTATTTGACAATTCTTGATGATTTTATTTTATCGTTAAATATTCATTAACGTACAAACCTTCTATATTAATCTTTTCTTCCGTTAAACAAAGTACGTAAGAGATTCATGGTTATAGGATACAAGTCAATCCTAATTGACAAGTCGGTTTTAAATATGAAATGAATGAGTTCTTAAGTTGAACGTGCTCAACGTGAAGTAGTACAGAAATGACCGACTTATAGAAGTTAATCTTGATACAGTTTGTAAGCCTTTTCGCGTCCTTTTAGAACGATGGTGGGACAAACTAGGTGTAATGTAACACCTTAAACAAAGTACGTAAGAGATTCATGGTTATAAGATACAAGTCAATCCTAATTGACAAGTCGATTTTAAATATGAAATGAATGAGTTCTTAAGCTGAACGTGCTCAACGTGAAGCAGTACAGAAAAATGACTGACTTCTTAGAAGTTAATCTTGATACACCCAAAACCAAAATTGGGTCGAAATGTTACAAAATTCCACCCCGGTCCTTGGCACAAGGAGAGAGGTTGCGAGAACTCCAACCTAACATGTTGACTTGATTCGTAGGTTAACTAATCTCTTTTGACCACAAAACCTAGCTAGCTTTGTTATCAATCTCTTTTGTTACAGTTTGCTACCAACATGACTGCATAGTGGCAATGACAGGAAAACACATATGAATTCATGTATCCATGGAATTCTTTCTCCCCAAGAAATTGGTGAAAGACCATTTTTTCGATCGACGAAAGCTCTTTTATCAATTGGTGGATGTCAACGATGAGCCTACTCATCAACATGTAGTCTTGTGTTACAGTATCATAGTATCTTCCAATGAGACTTGATTTCACATCTATATAGAGAGTAGTTTTATAATCGATTGTTTGACTCATAAAGAGTTACATGAACTACCTGTACACATATATAGGTTTGTATTTAGTTTCACAGTACGATTTAAACATTATCAGTCGAAGACAAGCATTTATGGAATGACAAAGACATAGGCAATGAGGAAATCCATTTTGAATATCTTTCTTTTCTTTAGCTCAGTTTCTGAAACAAGCTTAGGCTGACTCCAATGCAGCCTGCATTTATGGAGTTCTCGCCATTAATGGCGATTTTGGAGCTCCAACGCAGACCCAAAAAATGGTGAAAATCGGCATTTATGGAGGGCATCGGCATCTGGGTCGCTAAATATGGGGGAGGGAATGCCGAACTCGGCATTTATGGAGGAGGAGTTTCTGCTGCGCGGCACAACCGCCGGGGCTGGGCGGTGCGCCGCACGCGCAAGGGAGAGAGCTCTCTCCCTTGCGCGTGCGGCGCACCGCCCAGCCCCGGCGGTTGTGCCGCCAGCTCTCTTTTTTTTTTTTTTTTAATTGTTGTTTAGTTAATTAGGGAAGGGGAATTAATTAGGGGAAGGAGAATTAATTAAGGAATTTGATTAAGAGAATTGAATGTAATTAATTAGGGGAAGGTGAATTAAATTGAATTAATTAGGGAAAGGGGAATTAAATTTATGTTTGTATTTAGGCTTTTTAGATTGTATTTAATTTGTGTTTAATATTTGTGTATTTAGACTTTTTTTCTAAGATGACTTAAATTGAATTCATTTTATTTAAAATTTATGTTTATCATCTTTAAGTTGTGTGTAAACAAAAATTAGATCGAACTAAGAATGGAAATTATATTATTGAAATGAAAATGTGTTCGAAAAAACCCAAATTAGGTCCATAATTTTTTACTAAAAAAAATTCGGTCTCGAAATTTAACAAAATTCTATCGAAAAATTTGTATTTAAAAATGATGACGAACTATACAAAAATTAACATGAACAAATTATGTTAAAGTTTCGATAAGTACATTTTCAATAAATGGAAAAACTGGAAATATTAAGAACCCCAAATATGGAATTTGTTGCATTGGAGCAAAAGAAGGGAAAATGGGGTCCAATCCCCAAATTTGGGGTTCAAGGCCCCTATATTTGGGGTTTTGCATTGGACTTGGCCTTACAAGTTAGAACTATGTAATATTTTCATCAATTCAACCCCGATGATGACTAGAGAGCATACTCCCCATGATGAGTTATGAACAAGTCCTATGATTTCCCTTCCTTTCTTGAAAAAACAAATCAAATGCCACAAAGTTCTTTTTTCTCTTCCATCTTCTTTTCCTATTTTGCTTAATAAACTTAATTAATATTTAACATTTCTTATGGATTTCTGCCATGGATTGGTCATTGGTGTGTGCATGCACGTGGTCTTGTGCTGAGTTTTGTTGACCATCCTTTCCCCTCATTCAAAATTTCGTCACCTCTACCAATCTTATGAGGAAGTTTGTGCCCCTCCTTCCTTTAATCATTTTAATATGGATTGTTGAATTGGGAACTAAAAAAGGTATTTCATCTAGGTCTGTAAGTAGGGGTGGCTATACGGTCCGGTCCGGTTAAATTGGCCCAAATTGATTCGGTCCAGTCCGGTCTTTTTGAAAATATAAGGACCGAAGATTGGATTGGATACAGTCCGGTCTTGATCCGGTCCGTTTTTGATCCGGTCCGGTCCCGATTCGGTCTTGATTTTACATGAGATTGTGGGATTTGAGTGGCCTAAAGCCTTAAAGGGTGAGCAGTTGGTTAAGTTTTGTACTAAGTGCAAAGGTTTGTGACCGTTTATGCAAATTACCCTTAAGTTTTGGGTGTTGAGCTCTCTTATCCGGTCTTTATCCGGTTTTTTACCTCAAATCTAAGCCCAAAGATTGGATTGGATTGTTTACTATCCGGTCCCGGTCCGGTCTCGGTCCGAGTTATACGGTCCGGTTTCCGGTTTTTAATCCGGTCCCGGTCCAAATAGCCACCCCTATCTGTAAGTCAGTTCGGTTAAGTTATAAACGTATTTATTCAGTTTTGGTTAACTCAGGGCTCAACCCTGGATATTGGAGAAAACTGCCAAGGTGGAGTACGATAGTTGCTGAGGGAATTTTCGATGGAGCGGTGAAATGTTTAGAGATCGGAAAAAGACGGCGAAAGCACTTTATTAGGCTAACACTGAGACACGAAATCTTTTTTTTCCCCAATTCCGCTGGTTGGAATCCTTCGCTCCACCACCAACACCTCGAACGCACAAATGTAGAAGACGAGCTCAGTTTTGGCTCTATATCTCAATTTTAGCGACCGGACTGAGATGTTACAATGTGGAGGTTGTTAGATTAGTGATTTGAGCTAGGCTTGTTGTTTCTACTGGGAGTGAGGGAAGAAAGAAAAAGAGGAAGGAGAAGAGTAATATGTGCGAACTAGTTGAGGGAAGCAATTGATGAAAGAAATTAGGATGAGGTCATCGCAATCTTTCCTTCAATAAAAACAATATGATCTTTGTAATTCAATATTGATGCCTACATTTCAGCTGCAAAGTTTGTGATAGTCTTTGCCCTTTTCAATTTTAGGGTTCACATTAGGAGGAGATTGGAGAAAGACGAGGAGGTTCAGGACATGAGGAGATTGTTTGTTCGAAATTTGAGAGTTTGTTTGGGAGGGAGATGATCGTAATGGGAAAATATATATATGGTTCAGGCTAGCGTACGCCTGGGTGTACGTTAGATTACCGTACGCCTGTTTGAGTTTTGCTATTTAGATCATGAATTAACCGGAATTTTGTGCATGATACTATACCCTAACCACTAATTGATAAACCCCAGTCCCTAGTTTTCTAACCCAAATCATGAGATTCGTTTAATCTTAAAATGAAAATCAACAATAATTTCGACGAATTAGAACCGTTGATTTTCATTTCAAGATTAAATGAATTTTATGCTTTGGGTTAGTGAATCGCGGACTGGGGTTCACCCATTAGGGGTTATGGTATAATATAATGCCCCAAACTCAGGTTAATTCATTTTCTAAATAGCAAAACTCAACAGACATACGGTAGACTAGAGTACGTCCGGGCGTACGCTAGCCTTTGCCATATATATAAAAAATATTTGGAAATTATAAATTGACGGTTAACTTATTATTCGGTTATCAATTGCAGTATAATTTCAACCTACCAATAACCATACCGCTAACAAATAATCAATTAATAGTATAACTTTTCATCATTGGTTATCTGCTACTTTGACGAATTAACCAACATCACCTCTAAATTTTCATCTTTTAATGAATTTCTCTTATTAATGAATTTTTTCTTTTGCTAAGCTTTAGTTATGGGTGTACATGGGTCTGGTGGTCTGAGTTTAGCAATTTTAATCACCCAACCCATGCACTACGGTTTGGAAAATATTAAACCCAAACCCACCAAAAAAAAAAATTAAAATCCTACTGTTTGTTTTTAATTGGGTTGTCGGGTTGACGATAATTTTAAGTAAAAACCCAACCCAACATAACATATGTAATTATTCTACACCATAAAAATATTTTATAACAAGTTAAAATTTTAAATGAATAAACCAAGGTGAAAGGTATCAATATTCACAAATGTTGTTTAAAGTTTAATAAACTGTGATTTACTTCAACATATGTTTAGTTTTTTTCACGATATTTATTGAAAT